ATGATTAGGAATCTGTTGGGTCTTGAGCACTCAGCTGGCCAGCAAGTCCGCTAAGGATGCAGGTAGCCCTGTTCCCCATGTGCATATCTTCCTGTGTGTCTGACAGAGGACGCTCCCTCACTCCCCTGTTTCACGCATTTCTGTGTGAGAGCGTTTCAGAATGTCAGTGCTTGTCTGGGAGTCACAGATTTACCAAGTACACAGTGCCAAGCCCCAGAGGGAGGACCAACTTTCCTGAAGACCGATGTGTCATGACTTTGCAAAGTGCACCGGCATCAAACAGAGCGGCAAGGAGCAGGAGTGTGTGCGGTGATGGCTTCCCTCACACCTCGCAAGTGAGTTGGCAGCTTGGGCTTCTGCCAATGGCATACCTGATTGATTGATGGAACATTACAGCCTCTAAAAAAAAAAGAAGAAGAAGAAGAAGAAGCATGGAGGAGCTGTAATTGTTGCTGGAGGTAGCTGTCAGTCTCTTGCTGAGTGAGTGACTGGTGTCTGAGGTTCTCCTGGGGGGTGCCTGCTGGCTCAGCAGGAAAGGTCCTCTGTGCTGCTGCAGTCTGAGGGACTCCTTGTGGCCAGACACTTTAAGGACTTTGGAGGCAACACACACACACACACACACACACACACACACACACACACACACACACACACACACACACCGGAGTATCTATTGGGGGTTTTGTTAAAATAGTCAAGAAAGTGGTTGTGTTCTGTGTATACCTTTGCTCTGGCAATCTGATTTTAGGGAGATATAGCAGGAGACTTGGCTGAGCTCTGGGCATGGCCAGATAATGTGTTCTTGGCCATCTTTGCAGTCTGACTTTCTTCCATTTCCTCTTTTCTCGCTCTCTCCCCTCCTTCTTCGGTGATTGAACCCGGGGCCTTGTACATGCTAAGTACATGTTCTACCGCTGAGTTACAGCCTCGGTCTTGAAAGCCTGATGTTTTGAGTTGACACAGAGTGTAGGGTTAATAATCATGAGACCATTTGGATAATTGTTTATTGTCTTGGCAGGGTCAAAGCATGTGCCTCTCCCTGCAAATCTGTTGGTGTGTGGGCAAGCGTGAAGTGTGAGGACCTCCAGAGGACCTTACATTCTCTCTGCAAAGGTGGGGATGGAACATCGAAAATTCCTTCCTGCTGGGCTACTGATCCTTAAATGACCTGAAGCTGTAGACTGAACTTTAATTCTGTCCTTAGGTTTGGAGCTTGGGCTACTTAAAAACTCAACTGCCCGCCCCCCGTGAGGGGGGACACATTTTCCAAACTTTCACAGACTCATTTACACTTTCCTGGGTGTCAGTTTATCAGATCTCCAGTGAACATGTTTTGAGGGGGTGAGGGAGTGGGAGGTGACATGAGGAACCGCTAGGAGATAATGAGCATGGCTCTGCAGGGGACTGTGGGATCATTCACAATCTAGATGCCGGTGTCTTCTGTGGAATTATGGGAGTCAAGGCGAAGGCAGCGCGTGGGTGTGGGATGGGCGAACACACATGAAGGAGCCATCAAACACACTGCACTGCTTTCAATCGCCTCTTCTATGGATTTCTTTGTTGCATGGAATTGGGGAAACTGAGAACTTAGAAAATGATTTCAAATAGAATTGTTCCTGCAGAACTATGACCATCACTAAGAAATTCTCTGCTTCTTTATCTTTGTCCTCACAAAGTCTGCTCTCAGCGAATAGGACAATTCTTTTAAAGCACAACCATGATGGTGGCATTCCTTTGGCCTATTGCTTAGCAAATGGCTTCCAATTTCAAGTCCATCCAATAGCTAGCAAGGCCTTGTACCATTAATTTTGTCCCCTGATTCTCTCCACTGTGCCTCTTGTTCATTCAGCTCCAGCCATTTTGGCTTCTTCCATACTCTTGGGCCATTCTTAACAGCTGTACCCATCTTCTGGAAGGTTCTTCCTAATGACATCTTGTTATGGTTTAAGTGTGAGGTGCCCACGTCTCTGAACACTTTGTTCCCAGTTGGTGGCACTGTTTGGGGAGGTTGTAGAACTTTTGGGATGTGTGTGGGGGCCATGGGTAGCAGAGGTGGTTCAAAGTGTGTGTGTGTGTGTGTGTGTGTGTGTGTGTTTGTAGGGGACTTTAAAGGTTTTAGGTCTACATTTTCTGTTTCCTGATCTCCCAAGATCTGAAGAGTCACAGGCAAGCATCTACTATCACAGAGGGAGTCACAGAGGGAGTCCCAGCCTCCATGTCTTCCCTACCATGGTGGACCACAGTCCCTGAACTGTGAGCCACAATAAACTCTCTTGTAAGATGTTTCCAGCAGGATTTTGCCACAGTGATGAGAAGAGTGATTAATCCAGATCCGCTCTGCTGACTGTCACCTTGTCCAGCACTTGCTCTGTGCCAGTCTCAGCCAGGAGTCCCATAACTGTTCTATTTAAAATCACATCACCTACTCTATATTTTTCATTACAATGTTCATTGAATGTGTATGGGTATGTGGCCTGCATGTGTGTCTGTTCACCATCTTCATGCTGAGTGCTCATGGAGGCTGTGGAGGCTAGAAGAAGGGTTTGAATCCTCTAGTACTGGAGTTATAAATGGCTGTGAGCTGCCATTTGGGTATTTGGAATTGAACCTACACTCTCTACAAGCGTAGCCATGCTCTTAATGGCTGAGCCATCTTTCCCCACATCATTTACTGTGTTCCACCTTTTCTTTTTTTTCCCCCTTGTGGAGTACATTAATTTTTTAAAATTGAAATAGATCTTTTCATATAGTATATTCTGATTACAGTTTCTTCTCTCTCAACTCCTTTTCTATCCTTCCCACTTCCCTACCCACCCACATCCATACTCTTTCTTTCTCTCTCTCTCTCATTAGCATACAAACAAGCATCCAAAAATTAAAATAAGACAAAATAAAAATAAACAAACAAGAATAGGACAAAACAAATAACAAACAGGAAAAAAAAAACAGCCAAAAGGAAAGCACACACACACACACACACACACACACACACACACACACACACACAAAAAAAAAAAAAAAAACACATACAGATGCTGACACAACATATTCACTCACACGGAAAACCCATAAAAACAAAATTGGAAAACATAATATATGAACAAAAGATCTATAAGGTGCAAAAAAGCCCAAAGTATTGTGAGACAAAAAAAAATCTCCAAAAATACCATTGAGTTCATTTTGTGGTGGCTGTCTACTGCTGGACATGGGGTCTGGCCTTAAAGGTGGTTTGTGAACCCAGCAAGACTGTAGCACGATTTGCTAAACTGTCTTATTAATAGAAAACCCAGAGCTAGACATTGGGGTGAAAGCTGAAAGATCAGAGGAATGGAACAAGTCACAGCCAACCTCACCTCACCTCGCCTCGCCTCGCCTCGCCTCGCCAACTCCTCAGCTGATCTTGTTTCCATGAATCCTCAGACTGAAAGCCTCTGAGTCCTCACCTGAAAGGGTCTCAGTTGAACTGCTGCTTAGTTCCTGTCTCCTCATGACTTATATACAGTTCTCCACCCAGCCATGTCACTTCCTGGGATTAAAGGCCTGTGTGCTTCCCAGCACTGGGATTAAAGGTGTGTGCCACCACTGCCTGGCTCTGTTTCCAGTGTGGCCTTGAACTCAGGAGATCCAGATGAATCTCTGTCTCCTGAGTGATGGAATTAAAGGCATGTATGCCACCACTATCTGGCCTCTGTGTCTAATCTAGTGACTGGCTCTGTCTTCTGATCCCAAGATAAGTTTATTAGGGTACAAAATATATCACCACAAGACTCTGTTGGAGAAAATTGATTTTTTTCTTTGCTATCATCTGGAGACAGCTTCTGGGTTAGGGATGGACACTTGTATCCACTTCCCCTCTCAGTACTAGGACTCTATCTGACTTGAACCTGTGCAGGCCCTGTGTATGCTGCCGGTCGCTGTGAGTTCATATGTGTATTAGTCCAGTTGTATCTAGAAGGCCTTGTTTCCTTGGTGTGTTCCATTCCCACTGACTCTTACGATCTTTCTGCCCCCACTTCTGAAGAGTTCCCTGAACCCTGAGAGGAGAGATTTGATGAGGACATCCCATGTAGGGATGAATGCTCCAAGGTCTCTCATTCCCTGTACGTTGTCCAGTTGTGGGTCTCTGTATTTCTTTCCATCTCCTGTGGGAGGAAGTTTCTCTGATGATGGATGAACAAGGTACTGATCTATGAATACAGCAGAACGTTGTTGGGATTCATTGATTGTAGCAATAAAAAGGAGTGCATTAATATTTAGTGTACAAAACTAAGTGACTTAACCAAAAGTGTACTTTTTATTGTTAGTCTTCTTCCACTGGGACGTAAGTTCCTGGCTGGTGAAATGGCTTGATGAGTAAAGTCGCATGTCACCAAGCCTGATGACTTGAACTCCATCATTAGGACCTGCATTACAGAGGGAGAGAACTGACTCGCAGAGGTTGTCTTCTGACACCACAAACAGGCTGTGGCATGTGTGAGACCAAAATGAGCCATCTTAGAAATAAGACCAAAATGCTTTCACCCTAAAACTAAGGCCTAAGATTTCTCCTTTTAGGTACAGGCCATGAGTTACTAGAATAGGCCATGAGTTACTGAAACCATTCAGTTCAGATTCCAGGAACCAGGAAGTGTAAAAGTACAGACTCACAAGGTAGTCACGAGGTAATGACTGCTGGACTATGGAATGTCCTCTCCCTGGTTTCCAGGGTAACTGACCACAGAAATGTCCCCACCTGAGGGCAGCCAATGAGAATGGTGGCGGGTAACCACTCCCTTAGAAGTAAGATTAAGCCATGATTTCTAGAAAGCCCCTAGAAGGGAGCCAATCAGAATTGTACCTGTACTGCATCCCTAAATGTTGTAACCTTGTGGTTTTTGCCTTTAAAAACTGAGCTTGCAAGAGGTGGGCACTTCCTCCAGCCTCCACTGTGTTGGATCTGTTGGACAAAGTCCCTGCGTAGGCTTGTATATCCTGAATTAAACCTTGCTTTTGCATTCCAGAATGCTTGTCTTCGGTGGTCTCTCTGGGGGTCATGATCTGGGCACAACAGCATGCACATGCAGTCTTCCCCAGTAAGTCAAATGTCATAGAAAAAGTGACCGTAAGTTTCATGCATTCCTGCTTTGGTTGGTGATGTGTTCCAAGTACCTAGAGAGGTGGGTGGCAAGCATGGGTGCTTAGCACACAAGTGTTGTTTACTTTTTGATGGATTGTTGCTCTGTGTTGCCCTGCCTGGAAAACCTCCTCTGACTGCTCATCATGTCATTCCTGCCTTCCATGCTAAATCTTTCCTCCCAGAGTCTAAGTATTTCAGATTTTTCTACCATCACTCTAAGCAAAACTTAACCTATTCCGTGTCCTGTTCTTTGAGGAAACAGCTTTTGAGACTGCTGCATTAGTCAGGGTTCCCTATAGGAACAGAAGCAACAGGATGAATATACACATTAAAGACAGATTTATTAGATTGGCTCACAGGACATGGTCTGGGCAGTCCAACAATGGCTGTCTCACACTGGAGAGGCTGAGAATCTGGTAGTTATTTTGTTCAAAAGGCTGGGTGTTCCAGCAGTCCCCGTCAGGTGCTGAATTCCTGAAAGATTCTTGAAGTGTAGCTGGTCTTCAGTCTCTGTTGGAATCTTGAAGAAGTAGGTTCTGATATCAGTGAGGAAATGCTTTCGCAGCAGAATGGACTGGCCAACGAGAGTGAAGACAAGCAGGCAAGAAAGTTTCCTTCTTCCATGTCCTTTTGTCTGGGCTGCCATCAGAAGTGGCATTACATGACATTTAGGGTTAGTCTCTTTGCTTCCAATAATCCAATCAAGGAAAATCCCTCGCAAGAGTGCTCAGTGCACTAGGTTTTATTTCAGTTGATTCCAGATGCAATCAAGTAGACAACCACGATTAACTAGCATAGTAGCTAATGCAGCTTAACACATGCTTTTATGTGAGAATGTTATTTATTTTCCTTCTGCAGCATTTATAGTACAATAGACTTGGGCCACAAACACAAAATTTGCAACTCCCTGAACTCACTACTGTTTGAATTTCAGGTTTCTAGAAGGGCAAGTGTTTTCCAATGGCGGAGGAAAGAGCTTCTAACACTAACTGGGATCACAGGTGGTATACCTGGGCTAGCACTCTGTGCTTCAGAACAAAGGTGAAGAATTCCAAATCCCAGCATTTGGCAGCCAGAGGTAAGAGATCTCAAGTGTAATGCCAGCTTGGGTTACATAGTGAGGTCTTATCTCAAGAAAAAAGGATCCTGCTACTTTATTATGCTATTTCCTGTCATTTTCTATATTTTATTATATATTAGAATAAAACACATATATTTTTAGTTAAAATATTTTCTGTTATTCATGATACCTGGTATGTTCATATAATGCTATCTATTTTTCCTATTATTAATTAAACTTGACTCTGTATACGTTTGTATTACTTCACATTAACCAATGTAACATGTATGTCCAGAAGACACCATCACTCTTGGCATGTGAATGGCTGTTCAGGCCTAGAGACAAGAAAGTAACATGTTCAAGTTTGCATAACCAGTTTGCGTTGACCACTACATCACAGAGATCAAAGTTCACATCTTTCACATCTAAGTTCAATGCTCTTTAGAAAAATAAGTGTGTGAGAGATAACTCCCAAAAGTCATCTTCTGGTATCTACACATGTACCACATGCCTGTACAAGCAGACATACAGACTGAAACTGATTTTTAAAGAGCTTAGAGCCAGGTATATCGGTGCACATACCTTTAATCACAGCACTTAGAAAGTAGAGGCAGGTGGATCTCTGTGAGTTGAAGGCCAGCCTCACCTACCTCCGGAGTTTCAGGCCAGTCAATGAACTTGGACATCATGGTACACATTTGTAATTCCAGCAACCAGGAGGCAGAGATTGGAGAATTGCCACAAGTTTAAGGACAGCCTGGTCTACATAGTGACTTCCTGACTAGTCAAGGATGTAGAGCAAGACGCCTTCCCATCCCCCCACTAAAAGAAGCTATCTAGATGGCTCAGTGGGTAAAGGTGCCTGCTATTAAACCTAATGACTGTGTTCTAGCCCCAGGACCCCCGTAGTGGGAGGAGAGAATGAAGAATGACCCCCAGAAGTTATCCTCTGATTGTCACATGTACTCTCTGGCAATTGTCACCTCTCTAAATAAATAAATAAATAAATAAATATTAAATCAATTAAAAAAAGAAAATCAAAAGCTTGATTGTTCATTCAGGGGTACGCTCAAAACAGAACTGAGTATTCCCGTTGCCGCACACGCTCCTCTTCTCCATCTAGAACACTAACCATCTATGAACAGCCCCCAGCGGTGCCGTACATTTGTTACAATTGATGGACCTACATTGACACATCATTACCTCCCCACGTCCGGAGTTTACCCCAGGGTTCACTGGTGGTGTACATAGGATGGGTTTTGACAAATGTAAAGTGACAGGGATCTGTCATTATAGTGTCATACTATGTAGTTCTCAGGTAGAATAGATAGACACAGGGGATAAAAAAAAAAAAAAAAGAGTGGCTAGAAGTGGAAGAAAGACAGAGCTGTGTGAGCAACCTGAATTGTACAGATAAAACCACCCCAAACTGGCTGGGACCAGTGATGGACTCAGGCTGCTGACTGCTCATCTCCATGTTATTAGCCTTGCAAAACATACCATGACACAAAAGAAAATTTTCTATGAGGACAGAAAGAAGGTAGTAAACAGAAAATGCCACCTCACCCTGGAATTTCCTACGTTTCACCTGCCTTAACTCAAGAATAACCCTTCCCTCTTTTGAATTTTCCCCGTGAAATGAGCTATGTAAACATAGACCACGCCTCTTCCTTGACAAGCCTCCATTGTTGTCTTCTGAATGGAGGCTGTTGTTTTTAATAAAACCTCATCCCAGCTCTTTACTCTGTCTCCTCTGAATTCCTCCCCTGATGTTGACAAGAACCTGCTTGTATACCAACCCCAATTTCACTGCCCTGCCCTCCTTGACTTGGCCTTCTCCTCCCTCTTTTCCTTAACCCGGAACAACAACTGAGTGTTTTGCCTTTTCCAGAATGTCACATAGACGGAACCAAAAAGTATGTAGCCTCTCAGAAGAGCTTCTTCTACTCAATAATATACACTGAGTGTTCTTTTAAACAGAGCCGATACCTCTCTTAGGCTCAAACACATTACCCTCTGTGGCCCAGAGTTTCAATTCATTCAAACATGCCTGATTTTATCACCTGAATGCACTCATGTAATAGGTATTTATAAGAAGCCTAATTATAGCTGATTGTGCACATGCAATATGATTTCGTTTGTTCTGAACTCCCCCACCCCAGCCCTCAGCCTCTTGAAGACGGACCCCCTTCCAAGACCATAGCAACAGGACTCCGAGTTGGTGGCTTCCTTCTAACTAATGAGGGGTAAATGGCGAGCCAAGCAAGATGGGGAAGCAGCAGCCAGAAAGGAGGAGACTGCCGACACAGAGGCTCGGTGACCTCTGATTATCCGGAGCCGCTTCTTGAACACATTTTTGTGAGACCGCCTGCTGTCTCCAGTCAGCAGGCTGCCTTCACTCCTCCTAATTAAAGCCAGCAGGCTCCCATGGAAGAAAACAATTTCAAAGCAAAGGGATGGGGTGGGGAGAAAGCCTTAGCCCTCTTCCCTTTCTTCCCAGGGAGACTCTGAGCTTGTTGGAGGTGAAGCAGGTCTGAAAGACATGCCCGGCGAATTAAAATCCAGCAGGCCACAGGCTTCCATTGAATTGACTTCATTCTCTTCCCCTGGAGTCTTGGGACTACACCCCATGAGTTATAAGAAAGGAGTCTATAAATGGCGCCTGACTTCAGTGCTCTGGCTTCCCGCCCACCCTACATGGCCGCGCTCTTACCACGGCGGAGAGCATCGCCATCCAGCGAGCCTCCTCCTGAGGCTGAGCTCTGTCCGCCAACGAACCCCAGGGGAATGGAGTGTTTGGGACTCGGAGCATGAGCTCACCCGACTCCACAAGTCTGGGATCACCTGCCATCTGCTGGGATCCTCCATCTACCGGCCTAGGGAAGGTCTGAAGCAATGTCCAGGTGTCCCCAGCCTCTACCTTGCACCCCTCCCTCATTGCCCTGAGCCATGGTCCCTCACCCACCACCTCTACTGTGACCTTTTACCACCTCCTTTTGCTGTAAGACTGAATTCTGTAGGACCCTGCAGAGAATGGGGCTGCCATTACAGGGCTAAGTGTTCACCTGCTCACATCCTGGATAAGTAGGACTTGGCTACTTACTGTGAGGGGCCCCCAAAACAACTTGATCACGCAGCTGCCATGACAGGCTCAGAGGCCCAGCCACAGCTTCTGGCAGGCAACACCTGGACCCAGGAAGAGCCATAAGCTGATCCCACCCAGTGGGGCCTGCATCTAAGAGCAAATACCTGGCATTCCAAACATTCCCTATACCCCTAGACAAATGTCAGCCAATCAGGGTCCTGAACCCTGGAAATCCCCTCACCCCGACCTCTGCTTTGATAAAAACCCTACCCCACCTGAGCTCAGGGCTCTCTGCTCTCACTGCTGCGACGGACAGAGTGCCCAAACTCTGAGCTCGAAGATAATAAAGGCTCTTTGCTTTTATGTACGGGATTCGGTCTCTGTTGTGGTCTTTTGGGGATCTCCGCGATCCGGGCATAACAGCTACCAGTTCTACTTCCCGAGTTGCCGCCTCTAAGGTTCCAGCTGCCCTTCATCCTCAACTCCATCAGAGACCTGGCTGTCTTCGAACCCCAAGTGCTGTCAAAGAATCTGCTTCTTGGGCCTGTCTTCAGGCAGGCACGTCGGGTGGGCCTTTCCTTGCCTTCATGTTCCTTCCTTCTGATCCTCCAGCGCCCTGCCACCACCCGGGGACCTTCCACATCTATTCTCTGTCTCCTCTGCTGCCTCTGGGATTCCTTGGACTACAGAAGGCCCCCACCCCCACCCCGCATCTGCGTCTATTCCCCGTTTTGCTAAACTCCACTCCTGGCATCACCCACGTGTGCCCTTAGGAGGCCTGGCTCAGAGCCTATCTGACCCCAAATGAATGTGTCAGCAGTGGCATCAAAGCTTGCACTATCCCCCCCCCCCCCCCCGTGTTCATGTCACATGCATGTACTCACCTATCTTTGAGGCTGAGGTTTTTGGGGGCTGCATCAGCTTCCTATAACCCCCTCCCCCCCACGACGGTCCATCTTTATTCACATCTCCATGACAGCTAGGTCACAAGGGGAGAGAGACACTTGTGCTGTGGGAATTAACTCCTGAGTTCCTCAAAGTGTCTCTTTTTCTGTATTCCAAAACGCACCAACCCACTCCTCTGGTGGCAGGCTGGGACAGTGTCCAGTGTGCAAGCTCAGTGTGTAAGCTCAGGAGTGGACTGTTTCCTGCAGTTCCTAAGAAGTAGCATATTTCCCAGGGGCAGTGAGGTGTTGCCCCTGCCAAACTTATTTACTTACTTATTTATTTGTTTGTTTGTTTTTTTGTAGCTGTGATCCTCCTGCCTTAGCCATTGAATACTGGGATCTCAGGTTGTACTAACACACTTGGACCCTGCTCGACTCCTGTCTCCTGCAATCGTATGTGCTGCACAGAGGTGGTTCCCACTGCCTTTCCCAGTTTCCTTTAGACACCAAAGTTCAGTGTTTTCTGACTGAATCCTGGCACTCAAAACCCCTTCCATAAACAAGTAGCCGAAGTCATCGCCGAATCCCTCCTGCCCGGCCAGGCAGCCCTTGGCTAATGATGGCTTTATTTGTTCAAATACGATTTTGTAGTATTTACATAGTTTTATCATCTGTTACCTATGGAATGCTGTTCTTTTTCAAAGACTGGAAATGATGGTATAATCACCATAAGCACACTATAAACTATATAAAAATAGTGTATTAAGTAATATGTATTGTTACTGTATAGGTCTATACTTTTTTTTGGGAAAGGAATCTTGAGTGCAACAAAGAGAAAGGGAGTGATGAGTTGACGGGAGCCATAAGTCTAAGTGACCCTTGACACACAAGCCGCCATTTTTGGGCTTCTTTCCTCTTTCCCTAGATCTAGGCCTTGCTTAAGTCTCCATAGCACCAGAACCTCTTCTCATAAATACCAGAACCTCTTCTCAGAAGTCAGGTGACCGCACTGTAGATAGGCAGTTAGGCAAGAATAGATAATCCCCATAGCAACATTCCCTGTTGGCTGGGCAATCCCTGCTTGCACCGCCCCCCCCCCCACACTTTGCCCTCACCTATATATGCCATAAGAGGAAAATAAAATTTTGGAGCTTGATCAGATGTCTTGTCTTGCTCTCACTGTTTGTGTCTCTTATCCCTCTCATTCGCCAGACCTCCCTTAAGCTCCCTGTTGAAGACCCCGCTGGCTGGGGCAATGAATGATATGGACTTAAGTTTTCTCAGGCTTCATGGACTCATGAATTGAGGACTGGTGGCTGTGGAGCCCCCATGGGACTGCACTAGGCCCTCTGGATACAGAAGATGGCTGTTTGGCTCAAACTGTTTAGGGGTCACCCAGGCAGAGAGATTGGGATCTGTCCTTGGTCTAAGGGCAGGCTTCTGGAACCCCGTGCCTGTGGTGTGACACCTTGCACAGCCTTGGTGCAGTGGGAAGGGTCTTGGACCTGCCTAGGCTCAGTGTGCTGGGCTCTGCTGACTCCCCATGGGAGACCTCGATTTGGGGGATGTGGGGATGCAGGGTGGCTTGGGAAGGAGGGCTGGAGGGTGGGAGAAGGGAGGAGGGGGGGATCTGTGAATAGCATGAGGAGTGAGTAGAAAATTTCTTAATAAAGAAAAATGAAAGGAAAAAAGTTTTCTCAGGCTGGTATTAATTAGCATGGCCCCTCTTGTCTTGGTTATTATTGAAGTGAAGTATTGATGAGAAAAAATGGCTATATCATTTTTTCCAGTGTTGTACACAGCGGTTTTCTTTAAACTGTTGTGGACTTCAGAGTCACCTGTAAGGCACGTCAGTAGAACCAGGTGGTTGTAAGAATGTTTGTCTCTGATGCATATTTCTAGGTGCAGTTGTTGCTGCTGGCCTGGGGCCATACTTGTAGCATCATTGCTCTACATCAGATGTTCTCAGACATTCTCAGCTATAGATCTTAAACAAGAAAAAACTCCTGGTTGGCACCATCCTCACAGTGTGTGGCATTGGGGTGTGTTTGAATGGGTGATGATACTTTGTGCTCAGTATATTCTGAGTAAGCAGTCTGTCATTGGTGAACCTTCCACCCAGGCTCCCAGGCCCAGAAGGAAGAGCTGAGAATTTCTGAACCAGAGTTGGCTTAGGTAAGAAGAACACAGGGCAAGAGAGAGTTGGTGGATGAATCTATCTATTTCTACCATACAGATGAAAGAGTGTGCATTTGGCTCATTCTGAATGTATTCTTTAACTTCTTTTGCATTGCTGCCCCCCTTTTTTAAACCTGTAAAATGTATTTATTTCATAAACATTTATTAAGCACAAACCATTTTCTAGCTTCTAGGGATGCAACAGGAAAGAGGGTGCAGTTTCAGACTCAGGGAACTCTTCTTTGCTGACCTAGCATAAAGTCAACCTAGTCAGGAACAAAGAACATTCGGTTATTTGGGACTAATTAGGATGGCAATCTGAGCAAACACCGATCCAAGCAATCTTAGAAATGAGCTTCAAGGTTTTACAAAGTGACAGCTGTATTTATAGACGGGAGCCGGAGGAGGCTGGTAATTTTAACACTCATTAGGAATGATAGGTGCTGGCAAAATCTAAGTTGCTTTGTAAGAGACACTGGGTGTGATCTCAGTCTCTTGGGGATTTGGGGGGGCAGTTAGGTGGAGGGGGTCCATGGTATGGAGGCTCAGGAGGGCTTAGCAGTGGTGCAGAGGTCAACTCTAGGGTTGGGTTCAGGGTATATGGGTCTAGTTGTGTTGCCTTTCTTTGGGGCTGTGAGATGATATGTTTATCAGGTGGCTCTGCCACCAAGCTGGAAGGTTCGGTTAGAAACAGATGTCTCAGATGTCATTTACAATAGCCTTTCAGTTACATTTTGGCCCCCAACACTGTTCAGTTTGATTTTTTTTTTTTCCTCGACAGTTCCAATTTAGGGAAGGAAAATGGGGCAGAAGAGACATCAGCAAATGGATGTTGACAATTTCAGCTAATGATATGGGCAAAAGAAAAACAAATCAGAGGAAGCATAGCTTCTGTCAAATTGTCTTGTGGGTGAAAAACAAGTCTTGTGAGTGTCCCAGCCATAGGAAGAGCACGGCTGACATTGGTGGCTTTTCTCACATTGCTCTGAAGCATTGCGTCAAGGGGTGGTGACTAGTTCTCTCCGGCTGTTGGAGAAGATGTCTGTGGTAGTTTGAAAGAAAATGGCCCCCAAAGGGAATGGCACTATTAGGAGATGTAGCTGTGTTGGAGTAGGTGTGGCTTTGTTGGAGGAAGTGCGTCACTGTGGAGGCGGGCTTCGAGGTCTCACACATGCTCAAGCCACACCCAGTGAGACAGACCACTTCTTGTTGCCTTCGAGATAAGATGTAGGACTTATGGCTACTTCTCCAGCACCATGTCTGCCTGCATGCTGCTATGTCCCAACATGATGATGATGGACTAAACCTCTGAAACTGCAAACCAGCCCCAATGAAATATTTTCCTTTATAAGAGTTGCCATGGTCATGGTGTCTCTCCACAGCAATAGAAACCCTAAGTAAGACAATGTCCCTTGAGGGAGGAGGCACAGTGGTACATGCTTGGGAAAAGCTAGCTCTGAGCCTGGGCAGGGCATCTGGATTAGAGTCCATGTCCACTTTGCTCCACATTCTACAAGGCAACACTTTTTTTTACCCCATCAAAATGAACTCAGATGGAGTACCTGGAGCCTCAGACAGCCTTGACTGGAAGTCTACATGTTAAAAGGATCAGGCAGGAGGAAACTCAGAGTCAATAAATAGGGCAAACTAGGATGGGGTAGGGTGAAGTGGGGTGGCATGTTTAAGAGTGAACCTGACTGCTGTGGGATGGTCTGTATGTCAAATAAAATACTGATTGGCCATTGGCCAGGCAGGAAGTAGGTGGGACAAGGAGAGAGGAGAATTCTGGGAAGTGGAAGGCTGAGTCAGAGAGACACCGCTAGCCGCCGCCATGACCAGCAGCATGTGAAGACACCGGTAAGCCACTAGCCACGTGGCAAGGTATAGATTTGTAGAAATGGATTAATTTAAGCTATAAGAACAGTTAGCAAGAAGCCTGCCACGGCCATACAGTTTGTATGCAATATAAGTCTCTGTGTTTACTTGGTTGGGTCTGAGCGGCTGTGGGACTGGCGGGTGACCAAGATTTGTCCTGACTGTGGGCAAAGCAGAAAAACTCTAGCTACACCTGACTTTCTGTTTGGAACTGCCCCA